CAAAGCAGGACAAAAATATTCTGCCCACTTTCAATGGCCTTGTCCTGCCATATAAATAGCCTCTGGCAGCTGGAACCTGAACCCTCTTTCAGCACTGTAGGTGTCATGTTTTTTCACTGCTTTTTGTGATGTTTCTTCTAAAACAATAATACAATACACACCAGGACTTTGCAGGTTTCCACCCTGATTTGCAGTGTCTGTTACAACAGACCTTGGTCCCTTTCTAAGCACAAGTGCTGACTCTGCCAAATGCACATAGTTGTTCTGTGATGAGGACAAGGATCATCTAGCGAATAAATGGAGAACTCAGTATTCAATTTAGTGGTGACCTTGAATTTGATCTCTCTTCTATCCTTAACAGCCCAACAGTCAATCTCTGTCCTGTTTAACCCATTTCATCATTGCTATCGTATCATAAAGCCACTTCTGCAACTGCCTTTTCCTTGATACTGTACATTTAAATCACAAAAAGAAAGAACAGAGAACAAGGAAAGAATTAGCATAATTTCTTCTTCACCTTTTTCTTAGTAGTGTCAGGAATGGCTGCACAGGTCTTTCCCAGTCTTTCTGTTCTTTTTTCTCTATTTATCTGAGGGAGAAAGCACAAGTTTGATTGATAATGCAATCTGCATCTTGAGGCATCACTGGAAATACAATGGCATGAAAGGCTACTCTGGCAGAGCACACTTTTCCCTCAGGCCTGACTTTAGAAACTCATTGACGTCACTTCCTTCCTCAGTCAGCAAGTGAATTTTCACTAATTCTCAAGACCAGCTGTCCATGCTGTCAACAGAAAGTTATTAAAATTCCTTTAAAGTGAATCAAAATAGCCTAAAAACAAATGCACTGGGAAACAGGAAAGCATCAGTATTCAAAGTCCACAAACCTTTGAGCAAAATAGTGTTGATCTAACCAGAGATTTCAAACACTCTGCTTTCCTAGCAACTTGTATATCATTAGAGAATGCTAAAAACATATACCCCTTTAATCTTCCATTACCAACAATTTATTTGGCTAAATTATTTGTTACAAGAATAAATCTTATTTCTCCTAAAGATGAACTCAGTGAGCAAGGGAATATGTTTTAAGAAGTCTCCCCTAAATGATAGTTCTGTGGAGTTTTTTAAAAGCATAGTTTTTTATATTTAGCAAATAAAAATACAACACAAGCATGCAGGAAGCAATTATCATAAGAGACAATCTTATAATATAGCCTAAAGTAATTATCTTCATCTGAATAATCTATAAGGCTTTCATTGAAAAGAGGAGTAGTCTCGAGATGGGAAGGGAGGATCATTTGCCCTTAAGTAGAGTCTGTATGTTAAAACTTTAAATATTTTCATCTCATTTTAAAAATTCTGTTTGTGCCACATTTATCAATATGGAGAAGTTTTGTTGAAATGGAGTATACTTTCCAGATCTGGAAGTGGCAGCCCAAGCTAGGCAGGCTCACCTGACATTTAATAGTGATACTGACAGGTTGTAATTCCTGTCCTATCATTATTATTTTTAAAAACCCTCAGGGTGCACGTAGCCTAGCTGGATAGGCAAGTGAGAAATTCCTGACTTTCCCCAATATGTGTGGACAGTCTCCAGTAGCAAACTGATACCAGCTGCCCTTTTGACAACTAATGCATAGGAGCAGTAAATGAAGCAAATTACTGCCCCTTTTGGTCAAAAAGCAAAGGACAGATTTGAGGTGTCCTTGCTGCTAGAGTCCCAGACAGTGTAGAAAAGCAGTGTTCTGTCTAGGTTTTGATTTTATCTCCAGGAGCACACTGAAGGACACTGCAGAAGAAGGCCAGAATAAGGAAACAAGACCATAATTCAACTTGCCACTTTGTGGATTATATCAGGATAGAATTTCTCCCTGGGCCAGCTGGTGCTGAGCTTCAGTCTTGACACAGGCATTTAATTTTATTTTAAGGTAATGGCAGAAGTTGCTTTTCTCCTCCAGTGGTCAAATCCTGAGCTGGATGCTACCAATCTCTTGGTCACGTAGTACATCCTTTAACATTAGGAAGCTTCATCCTACATATTAGAATTTTTTTTCTCCCCTTTTAATGTCTAAATTTTTTGTGGGGTTCCAGGTTAGCAAGACTGGCTGCCTATCTCAATCTTCTTTCTATCACATCTCTTTTATAAGAGAGGCTTGTGTTTCTTTTATTTTAGGTGTATTTCCATTTCAAATTATCAAGTAATTTCCACATGTTAAATTATGTTTCTTAATTATAGGTTTTGGTTATTTTTTCACTAATTTACTGTTTGTTGCTCTGCATGTCCCCTATCATATTGATTAGAATATATGGAAACCATTTTTTTCTTTCTCTTTCAGAGTCTGGAAAAAAGCTGCAACAAGAGACAATTAATCAGGTATTTGGAAACTTTCATACTTTTTGTTAACTTAAGTTTTTAGGCAGAAGAGTTGTGGCAAGTACAAAGTAGAATTTCACAGGATACACTAATATTAACTATACAGGTGTGCTAAGGAGCACGTGTCAGACAACAGGCTGGCTCTGCAGATGTGTTGAATTCACAAGAGTAGCTATCATTTTGACCTAAAATTTGTCATTTAAGCAATTCATATACTTCCCCTGTTGGTGCTGAGGACAAAGCCCAGAGGTAATTTGTTCAATGGTATCAGATTTTGTATCACAACGTTATGCCTTTTTTTCCTTTCCGTTTGCTAGTATTCCTTTTAAAAGGCAGAAATCTACTGATACAAATACCTGATCAACATATATAAGCAGTGTATTTCAGTGTTTCTTAGATTATTTCTGCCATGAATTTTCATTAAGGCTGCACTAAACTGTGATATTGTTTGCAGAGGTATTTTCTATCCTGTCATTATTACTGTATCAAGAGTAATTATTTATGAAAAAACCTTTATGTATTATAATTTTTTATTTCAGCGTCAGGAAAAGCACACAGGAACTAAACTGAAAAAAATTCTAACCAGAAAGAGAGGAGGAAACCCAGAGTTTACTTTCTCAATGACATGCCCTTGTGGATTGAAAGGACCCAACCCCTCAGAACCAGTGTGCTTGCTTGTCATTCTTTGCCTTCTTGTCCTCTTGCTGAATGCTGTTATCCAGATGGCATATAAATGGGCATCTGGATTGTTTGTGAGATTTACTTTGAAATGCTACTTAAAAAGCAATTATTAAAATATTTGCAGTCCAGCATTTACCCTCCCTTAAGCCATCTTCCTTCTAAGCTATATATTGAGGCATTGGAGTAATTACATCACAGTTATCTGTGAACTGATCACCAAAGTGAAGGCCAAATCTGACAGGGGACTGACCACCTAAAGCAGCCTGGTTTGGGTCTAGCAGCCATGACTGAGCATGGCACAGATGTCAGTGTGTCACTTTCAGTGGCCTGAGATGGCACCACTCTTCACCAAGTAAACCCTTGCATGTCTGGGAAACCCTTGAAGTTATGGGAAGCTTGGTCCTGTGGCACAATGCAATATCCAGTTTTTTACAATATTCTCATTATTAAGAAATTGATGGATAGATATTTAGTCCAGAACGTGGCATTGCATAAGCAAAGGAAATCTTTCACTTTTTAAACTAACTGTAGAAATATCTTGGAATTTAATGGGAGCTATGTGCTTTGACTGAGAATTTATATCCTAGAACAAGTCTAATTAACTTTTATAACCGAAACTGCATTTTAGAATTAGCCTGAAATCTCTTGCAAAGCCACTTTTGGGAGTCTTTGTAGGCCAGAAGGGGGGGCACTTGTATTTTTAAACCACGACTTGAGGTAACATTGGCAGTGTCTGAATGGTTGATTGGAGACCTAATTCTGCAGATTTTCTGTGTGACAAAATCTGCTCGGTGCATGCCATTGCCCTTTTCTGAGGAAGAATGTATTGTGAATTTAAAAAAAAAAAATCACCACGTTTTCAAAGGGTGGATCATGTGCTGTACTTTGTGCAACCACTCTTGGTCATTTCCTGCATGCCACTGCCTTGCCTTCATTGAATGGTTCACTTGCTCTGTCTCTCTGCAGTTAACCTAAGAGTATTGAATTTTGGAAGAATATCGCGTTGTCTTGATAGTCTGAATGTATCTAAATAAAGCTGTAAAAAGTTGAAGACATTTCCATTTAAATGGGCACTACTTTAGCTGGTGATGTCCCATTCCAGATGAGCTTCCTTTAGATTTCCAAGTATCAGAAGAGTGTTTCAGAACAGAAATCGATCTCATTTTCCAGACTGTCATTTAGGGCACAATTATAGAAGAATTTTGTATTGCTTCAACACAAATATTTAAACTGGTGTTGATTCTGATGGAATATCTGTCATGGAAGGATTCTTTTCATTTTCAATACTGAACTTAAAATTTTATATGCAGGATAAGATCCTTTAGTCCCCTTTAAGTTCAGTTCAGCAACAGTGAGTTAAACTTGCTGCCAGAAACTTAAGTGAGGGAGAAGCTCTCTGCAGAAGATGGATGATGTTATGACTTGACAGGAGCAGGAGTGCAAAGGGGCAAATAGCTGGAAATATCTTGTTGAGAGCTGAGTGAAACAGAGAGGGGATGGAGCAATGATAAAGCTGCTGTCCCAGTGATCTCCTGCTGGGTAAACCCCTGACTGTCTGTGTGCATCTGGGACATCTCTAATCTTCAAGACCAATGTGGTTTCTCAGCACTTCTAAAGCCTAAGCAAAGTTTAGTGAAACATGCCATAGACAAAACACTAAGGGAGTAGCTGCTTCCAGAAACCTTTGACTACAGCTGTCATATTCACTAGCTTTTGTTCCTTTTAATCATAAGGCATCTGCTGGTTTTCCTCTAACACCATTTTTGTCATTTATGTATATAAATATATATGTTCATTTTAACAGCAGTGGTCATCTACTACCAGCAGTCAACCAGATGTAGCACACACTCTGCTTTTCAATAACTGTTTTTAACTGCTTTTGCAACTTCAAGGGTAAGTCATGGCACCAATGTACAGCCTGTTTACTGTTAATGACTGCTGAGGAAAATGCAAGGAAGCAAGAAAAACCTTGTGTTTCTAAGTAACAGTATTGGCAAAACAGCACATTACAGACCACCAATCAAAATTTGTCTGGGGAAATCCTTTATGTTTCATCCTTAACATTCATATTTGCTTGTGTTGTGGTCTTAATATACAGTTGTGTCCAGTGCCTCTGAATCTCTGAAGGACTGACAAGAATATGTGTAATTGCATTTGGAAGTTGAAGCTGCTTGCAGAGTCAGATTTCTAGGTTAAAATCCCAGCTGTTTTTGAGCTCAGACTTGAGCCTGTTCCTTCTGCAGTGAAGCTGGAGGTCACGTTGGGACACTAGTGAGAGTGCTCCACAATATCTATCCCCCTGTTTTGTCATTGAGGAGCTTTTTGCCAAGGCAGACTCTCTTGAAGCGGCACATCCATCCCTCAGTCTTTTAAGTGCTCTGTCAGGGAATATTTACCTTTCTGCACATGGGGTTGCAAAGGAGGAACACAGAAAGGATAATGATGAGGCAATGCATTTGCTAGAGCTGGGGCCGGACCACAGAACTGCAGCTGTGACATACTGTCAGTATGTGTATACCTTGTGCCAAAGAAAAGTCAAAGATAACTCAAACCTCTGTTAAATGACAATAAAAGTTTGTTGCACAGACCATGATGAGGAATAAATAGCTTGTGACCTGAAGGTTACTTCGGGCACGTGGTGTAATAAATCTATATTAACATGATTGAAAACTTTAGAATTCAGACCAAAGTCCTTGTCTGCCTTTGTGCGCTGCTGTAGTTTACTCCAGTTTTCTCCTCTATCCCCTAATGACCTAGCTAAAAAAAACTCAGTCCATTTATGCCAGCTTCCAAATCATGCCACTTTCAGGTTATCTGATAGGTATGGCCCTTCCCTCTGTATTCCCGGTTTGGGATCATATTCCTCAGCGTTACATACTTTATGACCCCAAAATTAAGAGTATGAAAATCTATGAGAGAGGTAATGCATTTAGCCCACTAAACAAACTGAACTATTGTTTCACCCTCATGTGCTTTATGGAATCATCCAATGATTGAGGTTGGAAGGCATCTCTGGAGATCATCTTGTCTAACCCACTTACTCATACAGCAGGTTGCCCAGGATCACATCTGGATGGATTTTGAGCACCTTCAAAAATATTCCTCTATTCCTGGATATTCCTGGATGCCTGTGCTTAGTATTCACACAGTAGAAATGTATTTTGTTGTATTTATATTGAATTCCTTGTATTTCACTTAGTGCCCATTTCTTCCTGTCCTGTCACTGGACACCCCTGAGAGGAATGTGGCACCATCATTTTTACTTCCCCCACTCCTTCCCTTCCAGATTATATACATTGATAAGGTCTCTCCAAGCCTCCTCTTCTCCAAGATAAACAGCACCAGCTCTCTTGGCCACTGCTTGTATGTCACATGTACTGCTTGTACGCTCCTAACCTTTAAATACCTTGTTGCCCCTTCACTGAGCTCACTCCAGCATATCTACCTCTATGTCCATTTATACATTGGATGCATTCCAGTATGCCCATGTCTCCTGCACTGGGAAGTCCAGAACTGGACACAGCACTGCCAGTGTGCCTGTGTCTCACCAGGGCTGAGCAAATGTGAAGGATCACCTCTCCTGATCTGCTGGAATTGCTCTGCCTAATGCAGCCCAGGAGGCTGTTGGCCTTTTTTGCTTTGAGAGCACATTGCTGGCTCACAGGCAGCTTGTTCTCCAGTACCCTCAGGTCCATTCCTACAAAGCTGCAGCCCCCAGCCTGTACTAGTTCCTGGGGTTGTTCTTTCCCAGCTACATGACTTCTCATTCCATTCTGTCAAATCTCATGAAATTCCTGTTTGGCCATTTCTCAAGTCTGTTGAGCTCCTTGTGAATGGCAGCACAACCCTCTGGTGTAGCAGCCACTCCTCCCAATTTTGTATTGCCTGCAGACTTGGTGAAAGTATGTTCTGTCTCATCATCCGAGTCAATAATAAAGATGTGGCACACCTTTGGACCCACCATCGACTTTCGGGCAGTAGTAAATGTCCTCCAGCTGCATTTTGTGCACAACTATTTGAGCTTAAGTTTTCGGTCCAACTCACTGAGCACTTTCCTACCCTGTACTTCATGAAGTTGTTATGGGAGTGCCAAAAGCCTTAGTAAATTTGAGATAAACAATATCTAGTACTCTCCCCTCATCCAGTCATCTCCTTGTACAGGGCTATTAGACTGGTCAGGTCAATTTCTCCTTCATAAATCCATGCAACATGAGATTCAGCTGGAGGACAGTCACCAGTGTGTCACCAGGGGTCACAACTGAATAAATGCCATTTAACTTCTTCATTACATACTAGGATGATGGGATGGAGTGTACCCT